AAATGTTGAAATAGGGACTATAGCATGATCGTACCCCACTATGGGGGAGAAAATGTGTGTTCTCTGTGCACTAGCTCACTTTTTCTCTCCTGTCTCTCTTTCTCTCTAGTCAGTGCAGGCATTCCCTGACATTAAATTAAAACAAAACAAAACAAAACAAAAAAACACCCTACGGCTAACATCATACTTAGGAACGAGGCAAGAATGTACCAACACAATAATGAAAGAAGAGAAAAGAAAAGAAATGGCAATCAGACTAGAAAGAAGAAATAAAACGCTCTACAAAACAGTGATAATAAACATACCATATTCACAATCTATGGGATACAATTAAAGCAGTCATCAGAAGAAAATTTATCTCTTTTTTTTTTTTTTTTAAGAGCTTTCTGCCTTAGGGTGTGTGCCCTCGCTCAACAGACAGACAGACAGAGACAGTGAGAGGGAAAATGAAAAATCATCCTCCAAGGGGGATGGCCATGCCACAATCCCTTCTCCTCCATTCTCCTCTCAGGATCTTGGGCACATTCACACACATGCCTGGCATGATTTTGAAGCCACTGGGTCCAGTCGGCCAGGCAAGAGTCTAGCAAGGTAATCACTATGCCATCTGCTGGTCCCGAAAATTCACACCCTTAAGTATTTATGTCAACAAACTTCAAGAGTTAAGCATCAAAACAAGGTTTTTTTTGTTATGTTTTGGGATTTTTTTCCAAACTGCTAGAAGGAGCACACACTTGCCAGAAACACAAGGAGAAAGTACCCCCCAAAGGGACATGGTCAAACACCATCCTTTTTCTCTATTTTTCTAACTTGTCAAGATTTTTGACATGTACATACACACACACCTGGTGTGTTTGTCAAATCCAGTGCCAGGATTCGAATCACAGTGAGCAACGTGGGATCTGGTTCCCTCAATCACTGGGCTGTAAAGCTGGCCCAAAAAGTTTTAAAAAGCAAATTAGACAAAAGAAAATGAAAGAGAAAAACAAATAAAAACAAGAACTGAATTAAGACACCAAAAAATTAATAAAATTACTAAATAAAAGAGACTGGCACAAATATACAAAATAAACAAGTTTAGAAATAACCACCAAAAACAGAAAACTCAGTCAAATCCTTACAGACTATTTTTGCAATTATACACAAATAAGTATAAAAATATATTAAATGAATAATTTCTGGAAAATAGATCATTCCTAAGAGCTAAATAACTTTCTAATTCCTAAAAACAGTTACTCATATTCTACCGAATGAGTTAAAAGTTTAAACAGACCAAACAAGAACAAAGAGTTTGTTTCCAAGCAAGAAACTGGTAACTTTTTCTAAGAACTACCACTCAGAAGAGTCAACTTGTACAGGAAATTTTACAGAGAAAATGATCAAATATTCAAAGGCAAGAAAATTCATGGCTAAACCATTAAAGGAGGAAAATTTCTAACAGTTTATGAAATATGACACTGACATTCAAACGTAATAAAGAATATACACACAGACACACACACACACAGTGAATAACCAATCTTGCAAATACTGATGCCATGATCAGGTGAGATTTATTCCAGCAAAGCAAGGACTATGGAATATCAGGAAATCCATTAATCTAATTCATCTTAAACAAAAATTTTATTGAAAAGACCTAGTGATCATTACTTTCTTGACTAATCAGGTCTTAGCATCATCAAGCTGCGGACCTGCAGATGGCCTCAGCATCCTCTATGGAAGCATATTCTTAACAAAAATGCTTCATTTGGGGGCCAGCAGGTGGCGTGGTGGTTAAGGCATTGAATTCCCTCATGGTTAACTACAGTTTGAGTCCCAGATCTGGCAGTTTGCTTTCTCACTTTCTCTATCTCTGTGTGTCTCCCTGGTGAGTGTGTGTGCCCTATAGCAAATTTAAAAATTAAAAGAAAATTTTTGAAAAGAAATAAATTTTTTTAAATGGATCATTTGAAACTAATCAAACCTTTAACCCAAACTTCAAGTTTATAGAAATACACAATATAAATGAATCAATTAAATAATTTCACATGAAAATAATTCAGACAAAACCAGGAATGTATTATATTCCAACTACATAAATTAGCCTAGTGCCTTTAATAAGTCAATGCCATGGGATAAAAAAGTAGAGACTATCCTAGATTAAAAGAAAATTTTAAAATATAATAAAGTATATAAACTGAATAGATTCTGGGTCAAAAAAAATACTAGCTACCAAAGTCAAAGTCACTTAGGACAATACAGACTGTACAGTATGAAGGAATAATGATCAGTTTTCTTAAGTGTGATAATAGTGTTTTAATTATGTAGAATATTTTTATTTAAGAAAATGCATGTTGACCATTCAGGAGTAAAGAATCATGATGTCTACACCATGTTCCTACATGGTTTACACATGTATGATGCCATGCCTGCATACACATACACTTGCATTCAAATAAAAAAAGGCAAAATGTTCACAATTATTGACTCTACTTGATAGTTACAAAGGTGTATGTGCCTTCCTTTCTAATTTTTGTTGAAAAGTAGGCACATAATTACAAAAAAATTCTATCTTATTCAAGTACTAAAACTAAATAGCATTTCTAAAGTTTCATATTTGAGTAACGTATTTTGAAAATATATTTTCAAAACCAATAATCACAATTCTTAATTTATCAAAAAGTACAATTATCAAAATAACTTTCTTACTACTGATGGGCAAAAAACAATACTTGATACATATACATACACACACACACACACACACACACACACATACATTTATTAAACACTATGTTCCAGCACTGTTCTAAGTGCTTTGATGTTTCACTTAGTTCTCTGAACAGCCCTACAAATGGGTTATTACTATTTCCGTTTGTTTTTTGTTTTTTTTTTCTTTTTTTGGGGGGAGAGGTTTTCGCTATAGGGCGGGTGCGCTCACCAGACAGACAGAGAGAGACATAGAGACAGAAAGCGAGAAATCACCCCCCAGGGGGGATGGTCACGCCGCAATCCCTTCTCCTCCATTCTCCTCTCGGGATCTTGGGCACACACGCACACGCGCCCGGCGTGAGATTTAAGCCACTGGGTCCGAGACGCGAACCGCGGTCGACTACGTGGGAGTCCAGCGACATAGCCATTACGCTAACTGCTGGTTCCCACTATTTCCGTTTTTCAGGTAAGGAATAAGCCACAGAGGTCACACCACAAGTGGCAAAGCCAGCTGCCTTGCCAGATGGTACAGCTCCAGAATCCACTCTTTTATCTCCCATGCCAAACAGTGCTCTCAAGTGGTCACCTTTGTTTCTGACATTACTGACAACTTTGTTGAGGTTCTAACATTCACCAGTCCTTTGAGTTTAATAACTCTAATATTCCAAAGTATCATGGTACAAACAGAACCACAAAAATTCAGCTATTACACATAAAAAAGTACATTAAGAATGGCTTTAGGTTGCTTGATTAAATATCAGGTTATGTGATAAGATCTATTCATATTCCTATTAAGAGGTAGAATGAGCATTATGAATAGCTACAATGAACATGTTCATAAACTGAAAGTTTTTCCTGCTGTTGTTGTTTTTCTCATTTTGTTCGTTTATTTCTTCCATGACAGAGTAACAAAGAGAGGCAGACAGGCACTCCCAATGGGGTCCTCACACTGCACTCAACCCTTAGTCTCAGCTAGCTTGGATTACGTACACCCACTCATCATTCCCATGGGATTCCAGAACATGAACCCAGGACCTTTCCCATGTGGGTCCAGTTGAGGTACCACTCCGCCATGGCCTGGCCCTAAACTGACAGGTTTTAATGTGACTCCATCTTTTATTTTGAGACGAAGGTGGGTAAGTTTCTCACTAAGAAAAATAATTACTGATAAAGGCAAATGTTCTGTTTGTAAAAGTTTTAACTTCAACTGTTTACCTCACTGAACAGTAGGTGTAAATTTATAGCATTTTATAGAAATCTTATTAATTCATATGAAAAATGTCAGTTTGATAACAATCAAAATATTTGCTAATGACAATATGCCTTTAAAATAACCTATTTAGCTCTTTTTGTGTAGATAGCAGGCCCACAAGCATGGTGAACGTCCCTAAAACCCGCCAGACATTCTGTAAGAAGTGTGGCAAGCACCAACCTCATAAAATGACATGGTACAAAAAGGGCAAGAATTCTCTGTATGCTCAGGGACAGCAGCATTATGACAGGAAGCAGAGTGGCTATGGTGGACAGACTAAGCCTATTTTCCGGAAAAAGGCAAAAACTACAAAGAAGATTGTGCTGAGGCTTGAATGTGTTGAGCCCAACTGCAGATCTAAGAGAATGCTGGCTATCAAGAGATGTAAGCATTTTGAACTGGGAGGAGTTAAGAAGAGAAAGGGTCAAGTGATCCAGTTCTAAGCCTCATCTTTTTTATTATGAAGATGACAAAATCCTGAGGTGAATGTTCACCTCATTTGATTACAGTTGGTCTGTTTGTAAGGGAATAAAGTAATTAATAAAATTCCCTTTCGGGGAAATTTGATTTCATGGTACTACTTGTTTTGGATTAAATCTGGCTGTCTGAGCTCACATAAAATAAAATAAAATAAAATAAAATAACCTATTTAACAGTAGTCATTCAATGAGCCCTAAGAAAAGTACAGATCTATTAACAGATGATAATAGAAAACTGTTTTCTTAGCTAATAGAATTGAGCTATGAAAAAGCTCTATTAATAGTTACCTATACTATGCTTTAGTTAGGCCACATCCTAAAACTTTCTAATTTGTTAGTAAGCAGAAACTAATGAGTATTACTGCTCTATAATGTCAATCTTCATGTTTTTATAGACTCGACAAATAAAAATAAATATAAAAACAACTTTTTTTATCAAGTATTTACAGAACTGAAAAAAATGTATCTGAAAATATTTTTCATCCCTATATTACAATCTGTGAGAAGCAAAAATTTTCCAGTTGGAATGGCAGACAGGTAATCAGTTCTATTAAATATGCAGACATGTAAATTTTTACCTGCTTTTCCTTTCAATTAGAATGGCCACATAAGATGCTGGTAGAGCGGCACCAAAGCCAGGAGTCCATGAGTAGAATTTTCCAAGTATTCTCCTGAAAACAAATTTGGAATTTCTGTATGAAACTCCTAGTGGAGGTTTAACTTATATAAATACAAGTTCCCCTTCTCAGTCCTCCCTCTACTGAAATGTACCATAGTACCTCACATTCAACATATTCAAAATAAATTCATTCTCCCTCCTCCATTTGTCTAGGATAAAAGCAGCAACAACTACCTACTAATGTCTGAAATTTAGAATCATCCTCAACTTAACTCATTAAATCATTCTATATACAGTTAAATCTCTAAAATTCCTATCCAACCCACTGTACCTGCCTTAGTTAAGTCTCTTACCATTTCTCATTAAGACTGTTACAATAACAAACTAGTGCGTATCACTGCTTCCAATAATGTAATCAATCATACTCATTCAGGTACTTCTTTGATTCAAACCTGCTAACTATACAAACCCTCTTTGTTCTCAGTTTCCCTCCTTATGAAATAGGAGTAATATTACCTGTCTCGTATATCTGTTACAAGATTATATGAGATATTCTCCAGCACCGCGCAAGACACATAGTAAGTTCTCAGAAGTATTAGGTATGATTACATCATCACTATTAGTATTTCTTAACACAGACTATTCAACAACTGTTTCTCATTTGCTTCTGCAATCATCCCATTCTTACTGTATTTTATGCTTTTAGTTTTATGTGCATATCATTCATTTACTAAAATATGTTCCTGCAGTAGGAATCTTCATCATGCCTCACACATAAATAACCATTAGCTGCTGAAGTTTTAAGGAGGAAAAAAAAAGCTTGGAGATGTCAGGAAGATTTTTTTCTCCTTTCAAAACAGTATGATCTTGAGAAAGGAAGCAGCAGCACGTAAAAATTTTAAGAACTTACCTGAACAAAGCTGACCAGCTGGTAAATCATGTATGTGTTATATGCATACATACACGCAGATAAAGATCAAGAATCACCAGTTAAATAATCTTTTTAATTGAGGCTCAAATTTAATAGGATTTAAGAAGCTAATAAGGTCATATAACTTAGGTATTTCTTACGTGGACAGAAATCTACCTGAGAAGACTAGGGATCATCCTCTAACAGAAAACCCACAAAGGATTTAACAAATTACTAAATATACAAACTAAAAAAAAAAAAAAAAAAAAAAAAACCTGGCCTCATAGGCTAAAAAAAAAAAAAAAAAAAAAAAAAAAAAAAAAAAAAAAAAAACCTGGACTCATAGAGTACAGAAAGAATACAGAAGTTATTTTAACTATAAGTATGTATGCCTCTACAACTTAACCAAACAGGTTCACAGAATACAAAGAAATAGACTGCAACTGGCAAGGTGGTTAAGGTGACTGATTCCCACTGAGCAATTAATTATGTGGATTGAGTCCAGGATCCAACAGCTGGAGAAAAATACCAGGCGTGTGTGTGTGTGTGTGTGTGCGCACATGCCCAAAATCTCCAAAAGAGGGAGAAATGAAGGATATGGGACTGTGTTGTGACAATTCCCCATGGAGGTGCTTTCTCACTTTCTTTCTGTCTCCCTCCAGTGAATGCACATGCCCTCAAACAAATTAACAGGTAAAAGAAATATGCTGCAATAGAAAGTTATACTTACTGCAATTTTTATCAAATTATTAGTATTTGTACCCTAAATTTCCGTAGGTACATTTTCAAGTCCATTTAAAATAATGTGTGCACTAGAGTATAAACACTTTTCAAGTAATTTTCTGCAAAACCTAAAAGTTTATAAATCTTAATGCTCTGAAGAAAACTATTTTGGGCAACACTAATATGAGGATAAGATGAAGATAAGATTTTAACTTGACAAATATAAAAAAGCACCAGTTTGGGTTTTGGCAATCAATGGAGAGAAAAATAAAAAGAAGTATCTAATAAATGTGTTAGGTATGTTACATTACTGAGAAGACTGAATTCGATTTGCATCTATAATGTGTAAAGCATGCACCATGAGTATATACACAGGACTGAACCAGGAACAAAAGCTCCAATGGAGGATATACCAGGAGTTAACTTACTGTTTTATACATAAACACATACATTCTACAGTCCTGAAGTCTGTGCACTGCATATGGCCCTGGCTTATGTCAAAAACAGTTGCTTTGAATTCTTCATCTATACAATTGAAAAGCCAGGAAATTCTGATCAATAATTTGGTAAACAGACCAGGCCTTAGAAAATCTGTGATATGTTAAAGCTTTTCTGTCATATAATCACATCAATATTTTGACATTTATATTACATCTTGAGGCCGAGGCCAAGACCCACAACCCCTGGTTTTACAAGCTTCCTTGGAAATAAATGTCTTATTGCAGGTCTTAAAAAAAAAAAAAAAAATGGGGGTCCAGCAGATGGCATAATGATTACATCATTGGACTCCCACATAGTCAACTGTGGTTCAAGTCCTAGACCTGGTGGCTTGAAACTCATTCCAGGCATGTGTACGTGCATGCCCAAAATCCCATGAGATGACTAAAGGAGAAGGGATTGCGTGCCGCATGGCTATCCCGCAAGAGAGGTGGTTTCTCACTTTCTGTCTCTCAGTCTCTCTCTGTTTTGTGCACACTCCCTATGACAAATATCTCTCAAAAAAAAAAAAAAAGAAGCCCTGACCCTCAAACATCTGTTTCTTTCCATTTCCACAAAGGACTGCATTAACATCTAGTGGTGATGATGAATACCAACCTTAAAATGCAGAAGAAAGCCATATATAAAGCCCCATTTGCAGTAAGAAATGAAGCAGATTGTAGGATCTCAGGAAGTAGTTTGTGTAAATAATAGTCTAATTTTCGTTTCCGGAGAATTGCTGCAATCTGAAAAGAGAAAGGTTTTTTTGTTTACTCCAACCAACTTTTCCCACTTAATTTAGCTCATACCTGAAAAGTGCTGCATAAAGGGACCAGCAGTTAGCGTAATGGCTATGTCACTGGACTCCCATGTAGCCAACCACGGATCGAGTCCCGGACCTGGTGGCTTAAACTCACTCCAGGCGCGTGTACGTGCATGCTCAAGATCCCAAGAGGAAAATGGAGAAGGGATTGTGGTGTGGCCATCCCTCCAGGGGGGTGATTTCTCACTTTCTGTCTCTCTGTCTCTCTTTGTCTGGCGAGCGCACATGCCCTGTAGCAAAAACCTCTCAAAAAAAAAAAAAAATCCTTTATATCTCTCCAAAAAAAAAACAGTGCTGAATAAAAGCATATATTTAAAAACTAAAATAAAAAATTTTTGCATTTTGTTGGTTCCCCCATAATGATAAAATTTCCAAGACAGAAACAAAGACACTTGAATTTACTGAGCAATATAGCAAGAAAGTACATGGGTCATGTGATGACGAACTTCCATATATAAAGGTAAAAGTTTGTAATGCCTTTAAAAGTTTTAAACTGGGGACCAGCAGTTAGTGTAATGGCTATGTCGCTGGACTCCCACGTAGTCGATCACGGTTCACGTCCCGCACCTGGTGGTTTAAAACTCACACCAGGCGCGTGTGCGCGTGTGCCCAAGATGACAAGAGGAGAATGGAGGAGAAGGGATCGCGGCATGGCCATCCCCCCTGGGGGGAGATTTCTCGCTTTCTGTCTCTCCGTCTCTCTCTGCCTGTCTGGCAAGTGTGCGCACCCTATAGCAAAAAAAAAAGTTTTAAACTGAGAAATACACTTTTAAAATAAACTGCAATTCAAACAAAAATGGAATGTTACAACAAGACTACATTATACATTTTATCAAACTACTATTAGAGAAGCTCAGTGATAAACACAAGAAAAATAAATTCAGCTATTCAAACATGACCACTGTGTGCCAAAAAGCATGCCAGTAATATAAAAAGTAAAAAATAAAATTAATATTTTCCTGGTCTCCTAAAGCCCAAGGGATAAAAAGACCTGAAAAACTAATATTAATGGGAATCAGCAGGTGTCATGGTGGTTAAGGTGCTGGACACTCCCACATGGCCAACCATGGCTCGAATCCTAGACCTGGTGGCTATTAAGAATCTTGGGGCTGGCAGGGGCATGGTGGTTAAGGGCACTGGACTCCCACATGACCAACCGCAGTTTGAGTCCCATCCTGGTAGCTTACTTTCTTACTTTCCCTTGCACACTCTCTCTCTCTCTCTCTCTCACTCTGTCCCTCTCTGGTCAAATTAAAAATAAATAAAGTTAAATAAAATAATACTTAAAGAAAGAATCTCATGGGATCAGCAGATGGCATAATGTTTATGTCACTGGACTTCCACATATCTGATTGCGGTTCAAGTCCTAGACCTGGCGGTTTACAACTCAAGCTGGGTGTGTGTGCGTGCATGCCCAAGATCCCAAGAGCAGAATGGAGGAGAAGGGACTATGGTATGGCCATTCCCCCGGGGGCAATTTCTCATTTTCTTTCTCTCTGGTGAGCACATGCACCTTATGGCAAAAATCTCTCTCAAAAAAAATTAAGAAAGAATCTTGTGGGCCAGCCAGTGGTATAGTGGAATCCACACGGTTAACTGAACAATTCAAATCCTGGACTCAGTGTCTTAAAAAAGATGCCAGGCACAATACATGCATGTGCAAAATTCCAAAAGGAGGGAGAAATGGAAGAGAAGGGACTGTGGCATGACCAGTGGCTAGTCCCGTGGGAGGGTGGGGGAGTGCTTTCTCATTTTCTCTTCTCCCCCCGCCCACCCTCAAGTGCATATGATGCTTTCTCATTTTCTCTTTTTCTCTTCCCCCAGCTAGTATGTGTGTCCTCTGGCAAAATTTTAAAGAAAATAAAAAAGAGGAAGAAGAAAACAAAGCAAAAAAAGTCCTGACATAATTCAGTAATGATATATAAAAACCAAGACATGGGGTCAGCCTGTGGTGTGGTGGTTAAAGCAGCTGGATCCCACATGCCTGACTGCATGATTCAAGTCCCAGATCGGCAGCTTGAAAAACATACCAGATGTATGTGTGCGTACACCCTAAATCTCAAAAGTCAAAAAGGAGAAGGAACTGCAGCGTGCCCATCCTGCAAGAGGAATGCTTTCTCATTTTCCCTCATAAAAAAAAAAACTTAAAAAAAAAGAAATTGACATAGATATTGAAGAATGATTAAGTATTAGCAGTGTAATACAGAATGACATGGAAGTTTAGCAGAGTTAGTTTAATAGAGGGATAGGCAGAAGTTTCATGGAGAAAGGGATATGAGCCAGATTTGAAAGAACAGTACAATCTTCGCAAGTCATGGGAAGGAATACTTCCCATCATGACGAGACAGCATATCAAGGGAACAAAGGTTAGAAAAGCATAATTGAGAAATGAGGAGGTGTTGAAAGAAAGGACAAAATGACCTGAGAGTAGGAAGACTATAAAACTCTCTGTACACTCTTGGGGCCAACAAGTGGGTGGCATGGTAGTTAAGGAACTGGACTCCCACATGACTGACCACACTTTGAGACTCAGACCCAGAGGCTTGAAAATCCTATCAGGTACATGTGCCTGTGTGCCTAGAATACTAAGAGAGGGAATCCCAAAAGGAGAATGGAAAAGAAGGGATCACAGTGTGGCCAGCCCCTCTGCAAGGTGATTTCTCCCTTTTCCTCTCCCTGTCTCTCTCCTGCACACACACATTCCCCCACAGTAAAAACCTAAAAAATAAAATAAAATATAAATAAATAAAACTGTATTCACTCTCTACCCTTCTAGAAATAACACCTTTGGGTCAGTGATCAACAAATCAAGTGGTCTCTTTCCAGACTTTCTCGTGCATCATTCCCTTGAAGCCTCTGACCTGACCATCTCCTACTTCATCAATTTCTGTAAACAGAAAAAAAAATAATAATCAATAAAACCTAACCCTTGCCTTCAAAGAACATAAAATCTTAACAGGAAATAGACACTGTACAAACAATAAGCTATCATATAGCAGTGTGATAAATTCTACACTGAACGGAGAAGAAACAGCTGTAGAAACACATATTTGGGGGACCAGCAGTTAGCGTAATGGCTATGTCGCTAGACTCCCATGTAGTCGACCGCGGTTTGAGCCCTGGACCCGGTGGCTTAAACTCACGCTGGGCACGTGTGCGTGCTTGCCCAAGATCCTGAGAGGAGAATGGAGGAGAAGGGATTGCGGCATAGCCATCCCCTCTGGGGGGTGATTTCTCGCTTTCTATCTCTGTCTTTCTCCAAAAAAAAAAAAAAAAAAGAAAGAAACACATATTAAGGAGATGGGATGAGCAGACGCTATCAGTAGATTTAACCGAAAAATCTAAAATGCATCTTGACAAACAGGTAGAATTCTTTTTTTTCTTCCAATGATTTATCTTTCTTCCTTTCTTTCTTCCTTGCTTTCTTTTATTTTATTTTATATTTGACCAGGGAGGGACAGGGCAAGCAAGAGAAAGAGAGAGAGAGAAAGTGAGGAAGCGAGCCACCAGGTCCAGGACTTGGACCACAGTCACCCATGTGGGAGTCCGGCGCCCTTAACCATCATGCCACCTGTCAGCCCCATCAAACAGGTAGAATTCTGACAGGAAAGAAGTTTCTACAGTTTTTGTGACAGTGCATTTTTTTCATTCTACTATGTTTCTAAACACTATTCCTTTGTTAGCATCTCCTAGTCAGATCTCTATTCATTCTGCATGTGCTTGTACTCTCTCCCACACTACCATCTATGATCTCAGTGTAGGAATTCCTACATGACCCCAAACTGTCCCCCAACCTCAAGTCCATATTTTAAAAGCCTATTGGATATGTCAACATAAAAGTACCACAGACACCATAAAATCAACGTTCCCAAAACAGAAGTCATTGTATGCCCCAAACATGCTTTTAATTCTTAGCTCCCTACCTCAAATAACAGCATCACATCCCCTCAGTTAGAAGCGAAATGTAGGGGACATTTTTCATTCCTTCCTGATCCTCAGCTATCTCAGTTCTATGGTCTCCTAGTACCTTCTTCATTTGGAATGTAATATTGCTTTCATTTTAGACTTAACAATAAACAGAATCCGTATCGTTATATATTTAAATAGTTACCAGGAAAAAAAAAAAAGCATTATTCTCCATTCCAGCAAGTAAATAAATCTGTCCATTATTTGCAGATAACATTGAATCCTCACGCCAATGGCTTGAAAAACATGATGGGCTCATGTGTGCATGCCCCAAATCCTTGTAGGATGGAGAAATAGAGCAAAAAATGTTTGCAGTGTGACCGCTCTCCATTGAGAGATGCTTTCTTCCTCTCTCCCCTCTGCATCCCAGTAAGTGCACATGCCCTCAAATAATTTTTTTAAAAAAAAGATTTTTTAAAACGTCACACAATCGATTATTTCTTAAAACTATATTTTGAATCTATAATTATCTCAAACACTTCATTTTTTTAAAACAAAGCATCATTTACATGGCCAATGAGTATTAGAAATATTCTTGGCAACATTAATCATCAAAGAATAACACAATGAAATACCATTACATATACATCAGAAAGGATAAAATAAACAAACTGGATAATATTAAGTGCTGATGCAAATGCTGAGCACCTGCAAGTCACAAACTGCTGGTAAAAATCTAAACTTGTATAGTCCTGGTGGAAAATCATTAAACAGCAAATAATGAAATTAAATATATACCTATTCTACAACCCAGTAATTTAGAAATAGTGTTTATTTCCATCAAAAGATATGTTTATGGGCCAGCCCAGTGGCATGGTAGTAAGGGCAGCCGGAACTCGTATGGCCAAGTGTGCAGTTTAACTCCCAGATCCAGCAGCTTGAAAAACACACCAGGCACATGTGTATGTGGGCCCCAAATCTCAAAGATTAGAGACTATGGCATGGTCAGCCCTCTGG